TCACATTGTCTTTAGAGTATGGGAGAGGAGAAAGGCCCGTCCCCCCCCAGCAGCAGCAGCAGCAGCAGCAGCAGCAGCAGCAGCAGCAAGAAGAAAAGGGACGGTATCGTTTGGAGATATTTTTCAGCACGGGGGCCCGCGATGGCTTTGGGGAGAACTTTTACTTATTGGAGCGCAAGGCGCGACAGCAGCAGCAGCAGCAGCAGCAGCAGCAGCAGCAACAGCAGCAGCAGCAGCAGCCAGCCCCCAGCTCTCGGCCGCAGCTATGGAGAGAAGTACACCAGCAGGAGGAGGAGGAGGCTCGATCCCACTCCCTACACCCTGTCGGTGTCTCCGCTGCTTCTGCTGCAGCTGCTGCTGCAGCACCTGCTGCAGCTGCTGCTGCACCATCTGCTGCAGCTGCTGCTGCAGCAGAGGAGACACCTGCCTGCAGCACCTGTCTAGCAGCAGCAGCAGGGGGCCGCTGTCCCCGTTGTCTTCAGCCCACCCGCACCCCCACCACCACCACCACCACCACCACCGCCAGCAGCAGCAGCAGCAGCAGCAGCAGCAGCAGCAGCAGCAGCAAGACAGGGTCTAAGGGGCCACACAGAACTGGCTGCTTCTGCAGGGCCCCATACACAAACCCTGTCCCCCCCTATTGCGAGATAGCTCCGCTGCTTCCTCTCGGCCGTTCTGTTGATGTAGCGGACTTTGATGCTCTCATGACTGAGGTATTTCTTTATTTTTTTTTTTATTTTTTTTTTTTTTTTTTTTTTTTTTTTTTTTTTTTTTTTTTTTTTTTTTTTTTTTTTTTTTTTTTTTTAAATTTTCTACTTTGTTTTATTTTTTATTTTATTTTATGTATTTATTTTCATTATATTAATACAAGAAATAAATGAATTAAATTAAGGAGTTGTAGTGTTTGGAGTGTATGTGTCTGCGGTGTCTGTGTCTGGGGTGTATGTGTGTGGGGTGTATGTGTCTGGGGTGTATGCATGTGGGGTGTATGTGTATGGGGTGTATGTGGTTGGGGTGTATGTGGTTGGGGTGTATGTGCAGGTGCTGCGGCGGTATGGGGACGCT